ACCTTTCAAAGAGGATGGAGAGTGGCCTAGCGATAACATCCGCCAGCTCCCTCAGCACTCGTGGGTGCATCCCATCGGGGCCCACAGATTTGTGGATGTCAAGTTTGGACAAATGATCTCTAACCCGATCCTCCTTGAGTAAGGGAGAGTCTTCCTTTCTCCAGACTCCCTCTCTTGTCCCCAGGGTCTGGAATTCCTGAGGACTGGCCTTAGCAGTGAAGACTGAAGAAAAGAAGGCATTCAGCAACTCTGCCTTCTCTGCGTCCGTCGTTACCAGGGCACCCACCCCATTCAGCAGTGGGCCCACGTTTTCCCTAGTCTTCCTTTTGCTACTGATGTAACCGAAGAAGTCCTTCTTGTTGTCCTTGACATCCCTTGCCAGATTTAATTCCAAGTGGGCCTTAGCTTTCCTTGTTGCATCCCTGCATACTCTGACAATATCCCCATATTCATCCCAAGTGGCCTGTCCCCTTTTCCACATTCTGTACACTTCTTTCCTCTGCTGGAGTTTTGCCAGTAGTTCCTTGCTCATCCATGCAGGTCTCCTGCCCACTTTGCTGGACTTTTTACTCATAGGGATGCACCTGTCTTGAGCCTGGAGGAAATGATGCTTGAATGGGCATTCAAGCTTGAATGGGTACCAGCTCTCCTGGACCCCCCTTCCTTCTAGGGCCCTACCCCATGAGATTCCTCCAAGTAGGTCCCTGAAGAGGGCAAAGTTAGCTCTCCTGAAGTCCAGCGTTGCAATCCTACTTATTGCCCTGCTCCCTCCTCGCAGGATCCTGAACTCCACCATCTCATGGTCACTGCAGCCAAGGCTGCCCCCAACCTTCACGTCTCCAACTAGACCTTCTGTGTTCATTAGTACAAGGTCTAGCAGCACACCTCTCCTTGCTGGCTTTTCTACCACCTGTGTCTTGTTTCCATGACAGATTGCTTTTCTCCAGTGATTCAACAGTTCTTCAGAAATTCTTTCTAGCCTTTACACCTGTTCAAGTTTCTTTTCACAAAAGAGATGCATCTCCATTTGCTTCTACATTTGATTTTCCTCTCAGAAATGCAGCACTTTTTACAGTACATTGTAGTTACTTGCCTCACAGCTACTTCCTAATAAAACAGGAACGAGAAAGATCTCTGCTGTAACCTGGAAATAACAACCAGGCTAAAGCATAAAATATAAATACTCTTATACATAACGAAGTTAGAGGTAACATGTTCATATGACTTAAGAAGAAAGATGATTGATCAAGCTTAAGTAAAACTTGTATTCTTAAAGACATAAGAAAAATAGTATGGAACGAAACTGTCAGATTCATCTACAAGACAAGTCGCATGTATGCTAAAGCTTTAGTGCATGAGAATTGAGGATTTTACGATCGCCCAAGGTAGTCTCAAACGTACAGGGTTCCACTGCTGGGCTAACTTTTGTTTAAAGATTGTCTTCATCAAACGGCCAGTCTGTATTGTTTTTTCTTGTAAAGTTTTCATTGTAATTGCTTTTAATGTACTAAGCCTTCTTCCTGTACAGGCAGCTCAATATCTACTCCATTTAGTAAGCCACACTGACAGGAATTCCAGAATTTTGGCTTTTTTCTTCTCTTTCTTCATTCTAAAAATTCTGTATGAACCACTATACCTTCCAGTCACCAGTTTAACAACTTACATGTTGCAGGAAATAATACATCTACCTGACTCTGAGGCTTTGGATCTCACTACCATGTGATCAATCTGAATGAGGTATCATTTGCAATTAACAGAGCCACCCTCTCCATAAAACCAAATCATCTTCTTTATGCTTGCTTTTCAAAGGCAGGGTTAGATACTATCCAGCAGAATAGTTCTCAGAAAATTTACTTAAATGGTATAATTAAAACAGGCTAAAAAACAGCGCTATGTTTCGGCAAAAAATTGATGTCTATGGAGCAGGCCACAGCAAACAGTTCGCAATGCTGCAGTGCAGGATACTAACATGCTGCTATACGTAAGGCCAAACTGTTCCATGCCACAAAAAAAAAACACCTTAGGTTCTCATAAATCTAACAAAATCAGCTTTTTTTTAAACAACTGTGGATTTCAGAAAATTATATCCATATTCCACATCAATGCGATTACACAATTACCTGTACATTTACCTCATGGGGTCTGAATATTTCACCACTGTTAGTTACTTTCATTTTTCCAAGTGCAGCTTTCTCCTTTCTAGTCAGAGCCCCTGTGTTTCACACAGGACAATGCGGCTGCTCCTCTGTAGCAGGACGTGGTGGCTCTCTGCAACCCTCTGACTTACTTTCTGTAAATACCTTTTGGAAACCAAGTCTACAAAGATGTGTTGCACTAAATTATCAGTGATGGTGCTGTTGAGAGAAATTAACTGCATCCATCATAGCCTATTCACTAAACAAACATGTACAATACAAAACAAAAATTTAAAACCCGTAATACTAAGAGGCTGAGATGATGAATTAACATTTTAGTAACACGAATAGTGCAAAGCAAGTTCAGCAAATGATTAGCTGATAATTGTAGGTAAGTAGCTTTATAGTTCATAACATTGCAGATTTTCTGAGATATCTGCATGAATTAAATAATTTCATGCACTGAATGTGAAGTAAGCCTAAACAAAAAAAGTTTTTTACCCATTTGTAGCCAAAATAAGTGATGGAACTGAAGAAAATTTAAATTATCACTACATTTTAAAAGAAAAGAAAGAAATATTAGAGAAAAAAGTGCTACTTAAACATAAATCTAAGTAAGTCACACCAAAACAACTGCATAGTTTGTGGAAATTGTCTTCAAAGTTGGAAAAGACTGAGAGAGCAAGTTGGAAAAGACTGAGAGAGCTGCTACCGACATATGGGCAACCATTCTTGATTCAATTTCCACCAAAAAAAAGTTGATGTAGAATTATGGACACACTGGTGATGTAGGAAATTCTTCCCCTCTGTGAAACTGTTTGTCATAGACTACTCATTAAGCAAGTATGTACAATAAAAGGCATGTTCTTCTTTAATCTAAGTAATTTACAGGGGAAGTTAGGGGACTAAATCAACTTTTTAACAGTAAATTATTCTGTTAATTACATTTACCTTGTACTGAGACTTGCAGTTTTTGTTCCAGTAGGTGACTCCAACCCTTCCCCTGGCTTTGAGGATTTCTCTCTGTTCATTTGCTGCAGTATTGAGTTCAACTCACTAATAACATTAGCCTTTGGGCCTGAGAGAATTGGGCTTTTCACCTCCGTCACATCACCCCACAGCTTAGATGTCCTTTGGGGAACAACTTTAGCCATACTGGCCTGTGCACTGATCGGCGGTGGGGGCGGAGCGGGAGGAGGAATAACATAGCTGTCTACAGTTTCTTCAATTAGCGCATCCTTGTAAAGTGCATTGCTTTTGTTGATTATGGGCTTCATTTTTGGCTTAGGAGGTACTGGGGGTTTGTCCACCAGAAATGTTTGCCCATCTGCATAGACTGTACAAGTATCCAAGTTCTCGCCACCTTCTGAGGACAAGGTAGAGATGCTGGACACTGTTGAGATAGTGCTGGTTGTCTCTAAGTGATGGTCACTACTACTTCGACTGTCTACCTCCTCAATCCCAGAGTCAGTGACGTTATCAAAGCTTTCAGGGGGTGGCAGGAAGGAGGCAGGCAAACAGTTTGAAAGACCCACTTGCTTTTTACTGTCTAAGGAGTTGGTTGACTGGCTGGGGGTAAATGGCGCAGGTGAAGGGGTTCCATTTTTTCTTTGCTTCATCAAGTCTGTCAGAGCTGAACCGGGAGCCAAGCGGTCGTCAGGGATATCAAAGCTGTTAGCGAACTCCAAGGGGGGCGGTAGTGGCTCAGTAAACATAAAATCTTCATCAATATCGACTGACGCTAAGGGTGGCGGAGGGATGCGGAAGGGCAGGATGACAGGGTCGTCGACCGAACTCGCTGCAACAATGGTTTTGCAGGGAGACGCTGGTGGCTCCGGCGCAGCGGGTACACTCAGCTCGCTCTCCGCGTCCTCGCTCCCTTCCAGTCTCTCTGGCGGGGAGTTTTCAGGGTTTGGTTCCATTTCCGCTCTCTTCTCCTCTTCATCTTCCGGCGTGTCGTCCGACTTTGCTGTGTCCACAGTATGAACCATTAACAAACCAGCTGACTTCTGCTGTGAAGTATCCACAATGTTTATCAACATGTTCTTCTTCTCCTCAGCCTTCTTTTCTTTCCCTGCATCTGCTTCATACTTGTTCTCAGTCTCCTGCCTTCTCAAAGGACCACGCGTATTTTGCCTAGTGACAGTAGCAGTAACAGGAAATGTCGTTTCAATATTGGGTCGCAGCTTTGTATCGATGTAAAGTGGTTTGTTAAGGTCTGCTTTACCAGCTTCTCCTTTGCCTGGAATTTGCTGTGTTTGCTCTTTCATGGCTCTGTCCCGGGCAGAGAGAGCAAGGGCTAGCGGTGAGTTTGGGTCTAATAGCTTTCCTGTGACCGGGTGAACATAATTATCTGAGCTGGACGCATTCGTGGACTTAGCTGCCACTGTACTGTTTTCAGTACCTTTTGTTTTGGATGAAGCGTTTAATGTCCTTGAATCACTTTGATTGCTGGCTTCACTACTATTAAAAAGATTTTCAGACTCTCTGGGTGTGGGAATCGGAGACGGTGACATAAGCTGTCGAAAACCATCTTCGTTACTAAACATTCCTTCATCAGTAAATTTAGATTGCCTCATACGTGGTGTTGGCGGTGTTAGTCCAACATCCTCGTCTCCTAAGTCCGTTGAAAGAAAAGCTGGAGAATTGCGCCTCGCTTCCAACCGCTTTTCCCGGTCCCTCACCGCTCCAGCAATGGCTGCTGCAAATGGGCTGCTGACGCCTAAATTATCATCAGGTCTGAGCTGCCCAGGTTGCTCTGAAGACTGAGGATCAATTTCCATGCTGCTCCCTTGGCTGCTTTTCCCACTACTGCTGGTGGACGGCTCTTTCACAATGATTGTTGGAATCGGAATAGAGCAGGTCTTCTCAGGACTGTCTTCAACGTTAGACTGCTTCACCAGCATCCCCTTCCGCCGTGCTGGTTTGGCTGGCACGTAAACTGCTTTGCTTGCAATCTTCCCAACTTCAGAATATGGGTTTTCTGGCATCTGACCTCTCTTGTTCCTGAAATTTGCCTGAGATGTGGCACTCCTACTGTACAAGTCCTCCGAATCCAGCGAGTAACGGTCCAGTTCTCGTCTGTAATAGATCCCTTTGTCCCGTATCATTGTTCCCACGTTTTCAGGCCTAATCAAAGAAATTTTTGAACCCGAATTCTGATTAAACGCCGGTTTAATTGTTCCATAGCTCCTAGATGCTGGGGACTTGGGAGAGTTGTACAGAGACGGAGAAGGTGGTGGTGGTGAAGGGGGTAAGGACTGTGGTGGTGGTGGAATATCTTCAGAGGTGTCAGGCATCGAAAGACTTCTGGTAAATTTCAACATAGGAGGAGCCAAAAACTGCCGTTCTTCCTCCGTTATTCCTAAAAATCAGGAAGTATATTTAAAATATTGTCTTCTACTGGTACCCCTCATATTGTACTATTTCTGTATACAACCTAAAATGCTACAGTTCATGGCATGAAGCATATGCGAAATTATTAAAGAACTCTTTTGGCTGATTCCTACCATAAACATTTTTTCTCGTTGAACCAGAGACCTAGCTGCCAGCATTAAAAAGAATGCTACAGAATTTTAATTAAACCCATCACTAATGTGTAGGCAAACGTTTTGGTTTTATGTATCGTCAAGGTAGCTGTAAAGAAGGGCATTTTCTTTGAAAATTATCAAGCAGGGAAGACATTCTGTGCAGAAGAGCAGCTCATGACTGGCTCTAGCACTCTCTAAATGCATAAAATAATGCAACTTAGAAACATAAGAAATTTTTAAGATGCACCTGAAGCTTAGCAAAGGGACCGACAAGATTCTCTTGGGGAAAAAAATCATAATATTTTATTTAATAAGATACTATTACATTATTACAAATATGGCTTTTAACATAGACAAACTTAAAAATATCTTGGTATTTTAGATGACTAATATTACATAAGTATAATGTGTTCCTAATTTGATAAATATCACTACTAAGAAAGATTACTACCAAGAGGAAAACAAGTTCAAGTTTGGTCTGTTCTTTTTTTTCCTCTTGTGTAAAATCATCTATTGTCATCACTGGAATGGAAAAAAGCTGATTTTTATTCCATTTGATCAAGGAGGATGCCTTTGTAAACTGCCGGCATCATAACGCTTTTGCCTCAATAACAAGTTAAAAAGAGAATAACATCTTGCCCTAGGTACTGCATTACAATGGACTAGAACTGATCTTCTTTTCCCCTTCTCCTTGACTTTCCTTGTTAAAGGGAACTTTCTAAAGAAAGGAATTAAATAATAATTCCATAATATTTGCCCGATGTCATGAAAGCAGAATGTGGAAATTTTACAGTATCTTAAAAACATTTTTTTTCTATCAACTGTGTATAAAAATGAAGCAATCATTCACTGAGGTAAAGACGCTGGAGACGTAAGCTTTAAGAAAGAAGCAAAGTTACTCTAAGTATGTAATTAATGCACAAGTAGACTAAGCATGAGAAGCATTTTACCTATAGATTTTTGTCTTCTCATTGTACCCCGAGGTATACCCAGAAAAGGACCTTGAGGACTCCCTGGTACAGTGGGCGTCATCACAGCAATACCCTGTCTTTCATACATGGACTACAAAAAAACAAACAAAAAAACCCCACAGGCATTAGAGCGTGCAAGTCTCTCTCTCACACGTAAATAACTCTTCTGTCATATTTTACTGTCCCTCTTTCTTAGTTAGCATTCTAATGGAAAATGACAACTCTGGTATCCTTTTGAGGAGGAGGTGAGGAGAAAGGGAAGGTTGGCCTTTGTTTATATATTAATAAAATGACAAGAGCTGGAAGTGGAGTTAGTTGAAATTATTTACCAGGCAATATGTTTAATTTCTAGCACATTTCATACACTGTGAGAAAAAGGAAACATGAGCAATTGCATTTTGTTTCATTCACTTCCCCAAACCTCGCCACACACTGCGTAGGTATTAAAGTTCACCAAGCCGGCAGTTCTCTTCGCTTTGAAGGACAGACGTACTCAGGGTCTCTTGCCCAGAGCCAAGGTGTCTGGTCCAAGGCTACACAGGAAGGCAGCATGGCACGGAGCAAAGTCCCCTGAATCCCATTGCACTAGGCCATCCTTCTTTCTTCCAGGCAATCAGTAAAATTTCTTATATCCTAGAATAGCCTCAGTCATGCCTGAAAGACCCCTTTCCTTACTGAGCTGCTGAGGACAGCAAAATGCTTATATCAGGACTGGTGCTATTTCAGAGAAGCAGACAAGGGAAAAATAAAATCTAGACTGCAGGAAGAACAATTATTTTCCCGCATGCAAAGTTCTGCAGAAGCAAATTCTGCAATTGAGGAATCCAGTTTTCAGAGTTTTGGTGTTTAAATTTTTAATACATGCTATAGAATTAAGGTCAATTCTTCCCTTACAAATCATCATGTATTATTTAATCAAGATATTTTATATGCCATCAGGAATAATGAAACCCTGCAGTAGGAGAAGCCTTCACATTAGTGGGAATTGTGCGGCTGCGTGAACTGAGCTAGCGTACCTTGATTTTCAGCAAAGTATTTTAACCTGAGTTTAGTGTTGTACTGACATCTTCAAGTTCAGATCATATTAGTGCCTCACCAGCTCAGACTGCAGGCAAAACAAGTTCACATCTTTTTGAGAAACACTGAGGCAGTAATGTTATAGATGTGACAGTCTCAGGATAAACATAAGGATATAATGACAAAGGGTACATAGGGGTACCTTTGGGGTACCATGAGATACATAGTGTCTTCTGTTAAAAAATTATTATTAGGAATACTGAGCAGGCCATACCTTAAATTTACAAGATGAGAAAAGGAAAGTAAGTGCATAAGCCAATGTTTTTAAGCCCAGCACATTGCCAAAGTACCCCCTTAAATCAAAGTTTCAGAAGCAAAAGCAGTACTTCATAGCTACCACTCACATTCATATCTGTAGCTGAGGGAAAACATCTACTAGAAGGCCGCTGTTTAATAGTTGCCACTCTTGAATCCATGGTTGCATTGTCTGCAATTCTTGATGGCTTGGAAACTGGCACTATTTCATCCACCTTATCTGTAATACAAAAGTATTCAGTAAAATAAATATAATTTGTCCAAAAACTGAAAATCTAAGTATTGCAAGGTCAAAGGAAGAGATTTACTTTTCAAAAAAATGCAAAGAAAAAGTTTTTTTGGCATTTTAACAAGGCAACGCTTGAGCATCATAAGTCGTGCAAGCCGAGCACTTTTTATTGCTGCTACATAACATGCATGCTTTAGTTTTAAGCCTGCATGCATTTAATGTTTACTTAGTGTGACTCGAAAAACAATCCTCTTCTTCAAACCTTCAAAATGTGAAGGGAGAATATCTATATAGAAATGGAAAGAAGACCTTTAGAAATAATGAATCCGTACAGCACTGTTTCAAATAGCGATAAGCAGACTGTACTTAGTCATCAGGATTTCAGTGATATTTTGGACAATAACAAGTACTCCAGAAGTGCTCTTTTATGCCTATTCTCCTCAAGTAGTTGCATTCTAGTCCCTTCAGGTTCTCAGATTATTAGATTAGCCTTACTAGTAACTGCATCATTTGTTACGTGAAACTTTTATATGTACTTTATAGTTTAAGAAGGGCACAATCTGGGATAAACATAAATGTATTTAGTTGTGGTCAGAAATAGACTCAATAGGCAAAGCCCAAATCTGAATGAGAACTTCAACATTTGGATTTGGGATTCTGATCTAGCATATAACATGATGGCAAAATACAGGGAAATTTTTAATCAAGATCTTCCAAGGTTTAGAGTGTTTGCTTTAGCCCCATCACCAATTTTAATCACCAACAAGATTAATCAGTATTTTATATATCATGTTACTCCCTCAGACTGATGGCCTCAAAGTGCCCTCAACTATCAACTAATTATAGCCTGACAGCTCCTTTATCGCCACTCTCCTATTAGCATGAAACTAAGGCACAGAGAAACTAAATGAGTAGCCTAAGCCAAGAGAGTAATTCAGTTTCTGAACCTGTACTAGAATCCAACTCGTATTGCACCCAACAGGTTTCCTTACTACCCCTTTCATTGCATTTGCTTTCCCAAGAAAGCGTAGACTGCAGACTGGCACCATAGCAACTATTCTACAGTTGGTAATCATGTTAATTTAGTGTCTTTTTCTATTGACGTTTCACCAAAGTAGGGATTCTTTACATAGCCTATAGGTACCTACGAGAGTACAATACCACTAGGAGCGATTGCTGTTACTGCTCAGCAGTTAGATCTCTCCCAAATGTTTATTTGCTTCAGCAGAAAAGTTTAACTACTTCATTAGATTACTACAGACTTAAGAAAATAGGTCTCTGGTGGTCTACAGATGGTGTTACTATGCAAAGTATTGGATTTGGGAATTTTGGCTTTACCTCTTAATTGGAAAGCAGCACACTCAGGGGCCTGGATATGGATGGGACTAGGGCAGGAGGAAAAGCGCTTTTGAGCTCTCTAAGCAGTAGATCTGGCTGATGCAAGAGTGATTTTTAAAAAAAACAGGAGCAGGTGGAGAGGGAAGAACTTTTAGCCTTCCGGTTAGGAAGAAGGTTGTTCTAGCAGGAGATATTTTAGTGTCACGGAGGGTCACGGAGCAGGCAGGAAAGGGAAAGTTGAGCAGAATCAGTAAGCTGAACACTGCCAGAAGCTGTCTCACAAGAGTAATGTTGCTGTTTCTTTTCAACGGAAGTTAGCATTCAACGTTTTCATTGGTCTACTTTATTTTTGTGTGTTTTAAATCATCCAGTGGAAGGAGAAAAGGAAAAAAGATCTTAAAACCATCACACGTATTCAAAAATAAAACACACTTCAAATTACATTTCATAAGACTTTGTAATACAAACTGTGAACTTCTGAAAGAAAAATATCTGCACTTCTGCTCAGCAAAAGGCATCAGAAAGCAATGGTGTAACCATAAACATTTGAACTATACAGCAAAAATATGGCTAGACCGTAGAATCATATTCACGGGGACCTATCACCAAGAACTTCAAGGGTGCAGAGATTTCACATTAAGTCTCTCCAACCCTTTTTGTAATCCCAGAAGACCAAGCAACAGGCCTTTGGGATACAGAGAGAAGGAAGTTTGGGAAACTGAAGCACTAGATATTCAAAATCTGTAAATAAGAAATATAAATATACCATTTAAGAACTGATCCCCTTTATTTTTAACAGACACATGTAACCATACACCCATTCAGACAACAAAAAGCTACAGGGAAAGCG